ATGTAAACATTTGAAATGGGTCTTTATTATGGTAGCAGCAGGTATGCAATACAGTTTTAAAATATGTATTATATACAGTTACATACATAACTATATTGCGTATAACATACAACTATAACGCGTCTATTTTCCTGTTTTTAAATGGGAGATTTAAATAATCAAATAATAAATAGGATTATATATTACAAAATATGCTTGGAATAATAAGAATACATTTAACATAAAATCCTTCTAAATCCTTCTTACTGATCTTCGGACATGAAGAATCTGCCATCAAGTAATTTTTTAAAACAGTTTACACAATGATAAGAAAAAAATGATAAATTAATTTTATTTACAGCAGACAATCTGGCCACGTGAGCAGCACGCTCCCGGGTTCGTAGGATCACAGAACTCGCTTCTCCACTGTGAATAAATCGCCATCCGAATCCATGAGTTTTATCACTGAGGTGCTATGTAAATGTATTTTTACAGACGTCCACATGAGAAACAATTACCGTCCAAATTGGGCTAAAGTGCACACCCAAAAACTCATAATGCATATCCATCTTAAACTATTAGAAATGCACGGCAGAAGTTTTTTATTTTTTATTTTTACGACGCACGACGTATTTTTTTTTTATGTTTGTTCATCTCATTTGATTTCACAACAGAATCCTTCAATTATTTTCAACATGCTTGCTAAATATCTTGTATTGAAAGCTACAGCAGTGCTAAGTATTTTATCTTTGCAGGCAATCGTTGCAGTTGCATTAGTTCGTTTTTAATGTGACTCAGGCTTAGACATTTCATATCGTATCAAGTCACACATGCTCAAACCAAATCACATTTATTATAATTTATTGCTGTAAAGAAGGGCATTGATGCAGTGCGATGGAGTTCGTCAGTCACAGCAGTAGTTAATGCCTTTTTAAATAAATGGAAAATTATCTGTTGTAAGAATCTGCTAATTTTATAAGCCAACCTCCATAAACACAATATAAAGGTCTGAAAATACATTTCATGACCCCTTTGATTGTGATGTAAATATAAAAACATAACCCATTTCTGTGAGTCCATATAATCAAAATGCACAGGACCTCCAAAGTTGACGCTTCAAAAAATTGTGCTGCATTTTTTTTTTTTCTAACCTAATCAAAATAACCCAACTGCAGTTTGATTGAGATTAATTGGAATGCACAATGAAAAAACTAGATTTTTGAAAATGGTTAAATGGTATCTTTTCTTTTGCAAATTAACTCTTCATATGTTTATATAAATATGTCAACAATCACATATCCCAACTGCACCTGACTCGTCATTGCTAAGGTTTTTGGCATCAGCATGACATCAGAGTAAGTTTGCATGCATCTCTCAGTGACTGGCACGGAGACCTGGAGGGCAAAACATCCATGATACTGCAGCAAAGGCCAGTCAATTTTCCTTCTGTCAGTTTTCATCGACTCGTGTTGCTGCTGTGAAACAAAGGTTGTTGCACTGTGTGAGGGATGCAATTTCTATCGCTCACTTCGCCTCCTAGTATTTCAGCTGGAGTGTTCTCAGGCATTATCTAAGGGTGCATCTTTGGAGGACGGTTGTCTGATTTGATTCACTTTTGTCAGATTTTATAATCTGCACATGGATTTGACTCCTGGTTTCCTCCTGTTTGAACAGGTGCCACTTCATATTCCTCTATTTACCAGTAGTCTGGTGCTGTGGTGTTGTGTTCCCATGCATTAGCTACTGACACAGCATCTAATGAATCTCGTTCCCTACTCAGGGATGCCCTTGGAAAACAAGGCAAAAATATGCATCAAGCAAATTAAAGCAACAAAAATGACCAAAATGGATCGATTTCTTTTTTCTTTTATTGTATGACTAATGAAGATAATCAAATTCTACAGGGCCATAACATTTAAGAAAGCAAACCTTTACAAAGACGATTTCCCAGTGTACAGTACAGAATAAATCATACTTTGCCTCTGGACTTGTGCACATTGCTGACCGTTTATGCACATGTTCATCCTTCGAGTTAGTTGTTACTTCAACTTTTGCCAAGCACAAGTGTAGCTTTTCAATTACAGTATGTGTTGGATTTCTTCAGTACATTGCAAAATCAAAAATTAAACCACTTTTACAATTTGGTATGCATATGAAATGCTATAATCTCCCATAAAACAAATAAAGTAACATTACAAGTTCTTAATCCATAGCACAGGTCATCAAAAAAAAAAAACATTATTAGATGCAACAAAACAATCTAAATATATCTATTGTTTGTTGTTTAAATCATATACTGAAAGATTCTTTTCAATCTATGATCATGCTGCAAATCATGCTGACAACCTTTACCTCCATGAACTCATGAATCCATGCATGGCAGCTGGCCGGAACCAATGGTTTATGCTTCACCGTCTGCAGTTCAGTAGTAAAATGTAGTTAAGCAATTATTTCACCCTGAATGTAGTTAACTCATTTCTGTATTTGAAGAGTTCAGATGCAAAAGCCTCTAAGTGCTGTCTGAAATTGTCTTTTTTTTTCTCAGGCTCCTATGTTTATGTTCAGCAACAAAACAATCTAAATATATCTATTGTTTGTTGTTTAAATCATATACTGAAAGATTCTTTTCAATCTATCTTTTTTTTTATTGCCACATTACCCTGTCTTTAAAATGGATCATTCCAGATCTGAACCACCCGTCTTTACATGCTTTCAGAATGACAAACAGTCATAAACAGCTAAATAGGGTGAACAGTTCGTAAATGACTTTTTACAATATATTGGAAACGACAGTGAGGAGGGGTGTGAAGCTAATTAATATGGTTCAAAGCTATCCTTGCATAGCACAAAGCTGACTACATAAATATTAAATATGCCTATAATGTGCAAAATGCAGAACAAGAGGTTGGTACAAATAAAATGTTGCATCTTTAGAACAAGTATCATAATGGAATGTGTGTGTGTGTGTGTGTGTGTGTATATATATAGCATCAATGAACTCATAATTTTACCGCATTCACAAAAGTCTGGTTCCAACGACTGTGCATTTGCATACTGTTAATTACTGAACCTACACATAGGAGCCTGATAAAAAAGGCTAATTTTAGAAGAAAATTTCAAACAGCACTTAGGGGCTTTTGCAACTCTTCTGAAATACATATGAAGAGTTTATTTGGAAAAAAAAAAAAAAAAAAAAAACTTTTTTATTAAATATGCCTATAATGTGCAAAATGCAGAACAAGAGGTTGGTACAAATAAAATGTTGCATCTTTAGAACAAGTATCATAATGGAATGTGTGTGTGTGTGTGTGTGTGTGTGTATATATATAGCATCAATGAACTCATAATTTTACCGCATTCACAAAAGTCTGGTTCCAACGACTGTGCATTTGCATACTGTTTCACACATATCCCAGAGTAAACTTTCAGTCTTTGCTCAAGCTGGCACAAACTCAGCAAACTCTAGATACTGTCAAAAAGGTATTTGTGAAGATCAAATAATAAAATAAAGAGGGATAACATGACATGTATCTGCATCACATAGTCCAGATAATGCGACAGAAAGTTCCTGATGCAGTGGCATACCCCAAAAACATCCGTTTCAAAATTTTGTGTATTCGTTATTTTGAAAAAGAAAAAAAAAAAGTGAATTTTAAACACAAAGTAACAAATCGACAAAACCGAAGAGTACTGCCAACTTATAAGAGCTTCTTATTTCAGGCATTCATAAACATACCAAGAAGAGCAACTCGAATTGATCAGAATGGTGTGCCTTTTATGACTTCCGTCACAAAAAATCCCTTACTAACCTATATTGCTACATCAAAGTAAAGTATGATAATGTCAAAGTTCCACATTTAAGAGAACTTATTTTGTTTACTCTCAGTCCAAAAATAGAGAGGATACTCTTTGTAAGTTTGGTTTCTTTTCAAGAGGAGCAACTGACATGCCACAAACATAAAAAAAATTGCCATTGTAATAGCACTACAATACATATTTATATGTAGAACAGTGTATTCACATACATTGCTAATCGCTAGACATGTCTTCTTTTAGTTTTCATTAACGAGCAGTGACAAACATGTCTGTATTGGAATATACGTTCACTATGGGCTGTGAGACAAAAGGCAGTGTGGCTGATACTTTCTTCAGTGATGTTTTTGAAAGGTTGCCCATCTAATAAAAAAAAAACAAGGAGAGCACCTTCTAAGAAAGTACACTCTAAACTTGCAAATATATACAAGGCAGTACTCTTGATTCGCTCTGACTTGTTCACTTTAATGCTAGCGAGTAGCAGCACAGAAGTGATAAACCTAGTGCCATCATTTTTATATCCCATGTGCGCTCGCCAAAAAGCATCTACTAAAATAAATAGAGTATTTTAATGCTAAATATAAAATTGCATTCCGACACCAAGACAGACGTTTACATTCTTTCTATGCACCAACTTTAGTCCCTCTTTAAAAACTCTTTATAATACCTTTCACTTATATCGGCACACGCATAATCAAAAAAAGGTAAATCAAAACTAGTGTCTAGTGGATCTAGAAAATCTAGACATAAATAAAAATAAAATAAATATTCATATACCCGAATTTCCTCAATGATCTGCGCAAATCGAAACACAATGCAATCTCGCTCTCTCTGTCAAGCACTGAGTTTGTACCTTGTAGTTACATTTAGCAAAGCTCAAAATTAATATTGACATCTTTATAATATTTACATGAAAACAAAATAAATAGTACGCTTTATGATATACACATTAATCTTTTCTCTACACTTTTAATATCCATGAGTAAATGATTGTTTTTTTCCCCACTGAGACATGTTTTATTGCTGTTAATGTAATCCTAAGGTTAAATAACAGAAGATCCAGAACACAGGCTAAAGAGAGAAAACAGAGGAGCACATGACTGTTTAAATCAAGCTGTTAACTGGGTAATCTGTTGCACCCATGCAAAAATTGCTAATGTAATGCAAAAACATATTTTATGTTAAAAGAATCTTAAAAGAACAGTTCACCCCATTTTTTTTTTATTTCACCCTCATGTTGTTTTAAACCTGTCTGCTTTTTTTTCTTCTGAAAGACAAAAGTAGAAGATTCTTCAGAATGTTTAGACATACATTAACACAATCAGCACATATGTCCAAAAACAAACAAAAAAAGGCAATGAAAGCGCCATAAAAACTGCATACGTCATCTATATTTCTATGTGGCAGGAACTCATCAGAAGACTTGGAATAAAGTGCGTGATTTGCAAGGACTGCTTTTACTTTTACGCTGCGTGTTGTTGTTGACAGACATGGTCGCTAAAACAAAAGTAAAGCAAAGTGTCTCCTTTTGTGTTCAACAAGAGCATACAGGATTGGAACAACACGAGGGAGAGTATTTAATGAAATAATATTTTTTTGGGGTTAACTATTCTCTAAGGAAGGGAGTTTTAAACTATAATTCTATGTGCATTTGCAGAATAGCATTCTCTCAGGTCTGATATACTGTGTCTGTTTGTATATATATAGTATGAGTTCCCTTCCAGTGCAGTGGTTTGTACATAATACAGTCGCTCTCGTTATTATAGGAAGATACAGTATGTTACATATGTCGACACAAACTTGAAAGTGGGAGCTGGACTATCATTGAAACAAATCGTTTCGCTTCACTGTTTTTGTTATTGTTTAGAAACATAAGAAAGAAAAGAGAGAAAAACCGAGGAGATGGAATTAGTGTGGCTGCTGGGCGCCCTGTAATTTGGGTTTTTTATTCAAGTAAGTGGCCCAATACACCAAGTTAAAGGTCCCGAAGAGCAGCGGGAAGGCTATTCTGGCGATCCTGTCGATCTTGCTCACGCTGTTGAAGGTCTTCTTGGCCTCGGGGGGTTTGGGTTTTGGCTCTTCCTTGGGCTCGGTTGGCGGAGGGGGGGCACTTTTAGCAATAGTTGCCAAACCAGGGTCTCTGGCAATGTTCGGAGCAAACGTTGTCGCCGTCGCGGCCGTGTAGGTGTTGTTCTTTTTCAGCAATGCACACACACACACACACACACAAATACAACATATGTGCCTTCAATAGCTGCAACACCTTCATTTCACCCCCACCAGTAATAATAATAATAATAATAATAATAATAATAAACACAATACACTTGAGAGTGAGAAAATTATGACAATTTTCATTTTTATGAACAAATCTTTTATTGGTCTATGACTAAAATGTTTTTTTTTCTCTTTTATTTGAAAACTGAAATGGCTTTACCTTTTCTGGCACCACACTTTTCCCATCCCAGGCGTAACCCCTCTTGGTGAAGTAGTTAACAGTGGCAAACTCAATGAGAGCAGAGAAGACAAATGCGTAGCAGACGGCGATGAACCAGTCCATGGCTGTGGCATAGGCCACCTTGGGCAGAGAGTTTCTCGCGCTGATACTCAGGGTGGTCATGGTAAGGACAGTGGTCACTCCTGCAGTGGACAAAGCATAAGAAAAGAGCTTGCATTAAACAACTATATGTCAGGTTTTAATCAATCTGCCAGAAAACAAAATAGTGTTTAATAGTGTTGGGCCCCTTTTGTCTTCAGAACTGCCTTAACTTCTATTTTCGACAAGGTAACGGAAACATTCCTCAGAGATTTTGGTTCACATTTACATGCAACCCAGGCTCTTTGGAAAAACGTGCTTCTAAATACATTTCTGCAACATCGTTATTACGTACCTTACTGCACGTTTCGTGGCAGTTTCAAAGTGAGTGGCGCTAAAACGCAGGTTCAATACGTGACCCTGGTTGATATAGGCACGTTTTGCTGTGTTTTTATTACATTGCTTCAGGTACATATTGTGGATGTTCATAATTCAAGTATCCGAGGAGTGTTGCTAAACATTAACGCTCTATCGTGTTGAAAATATCCCCTACATCCATCCCTAAACCTGCCCGATAGTGTTAACAAATGCAAAACTGGTATAAAAATGGATTTGTTGATGCAACCGTGCTATTTTAACTTCCTTTTTTATTTTAAAGGGGTCATATGATGCTACATGCACTTTTACAAGTTGTTTGAACTGAAATGTGTGTTGGCAGTGTGTGTACACAACCACCCTATAATGATAAAAATCCACCCAGTGTTTTTTTTTAATCTACTAAAATATTTACTCCTTTCTCAAATCAAGCCGATCTCAGATGCCTGTCTTTGTGACATCACACAGACAGGCCCCTCCCACGATAGTTTGATTGACAGTAGCGTTTCAGCACAGACTGGACTGGTGTCTTATCTTAGACCCGCCTTGAGTGACTGTCATCAGTCCGCCAGTGTTTCACCGCCGGAGCAGATGTAGACAATAATGACTCCTAAGCGATTGAGGTGTTCTGATGTTGGATGTAATCATGAACAGCAGTAGCCATTTACTTCCGACATCTGAGCTGCTGAAGACAGTGGATTACGTTTGTTTGTGAAGGGAATGCTCCCCCGATCTGCCTAAATGCATCTATGTTCACGCGAATCATTCATGATCCAGCCTCATCTACAGAAGAAGTGAGTATAAGGTTCTTTTATGAATCTTTGCAAATCGACTTTCCTAATAATGTGCTAGTTAGCAAGTTTCACGATGAATACGGCTAAAGTAAACAGTCCCTCAGAGAGCGGCTCGGAACTGCCATTGAGAAATTTTAACCAAACTATGTTACAGACTTTTCATTGAGACCCTAAAGAATCATATCAACTTGTGGAAAATGGGCATCCTATGACCCCTTTAACGGATTTGAGCTGTTTTGTCGAACCGTAGTTTCACGGGGTTCGTACCGGAGTTCTTGCATATGAAAACGCATGCATATGAAGCTGTATATGTGACGGCAACGTCCAAAAGTATCAGTTTTCAAATCTCGCAGCATTTTAAAATCGTTTTGAATTCATAACGTAATATCCCTCAAGTAATTATACAAAAATTGATCGAAACTGTGGACGTGCAAATCAAACTTTGTGTGAAAAGGAATAAAAGTTGTGGGAGTTTTACTGCCTCTAGTGTTCATTTCAACTGGAAACCGCAGCGATTCGTGTGTATAGGTACGTTTTTTGAGTTTCGCAGAAATGTAGGTAGAGGCACGTATTTCCGATGAGTTGAAATGATGGTCATTTGAGTTACCATTGCCTTTTTATCAGCTCAAAGTTTGGCCATTCTCCTCTGATCTCTGGCATCAACAAGGCATTTTCTCCCATAGAACTCACTGGATATTTTCTCTTTTTTGGACCATTCTCTGTAAACCCTAGAAGTAGTTGAGCATTCACAGTCACTTAAATCACCTTTTCCCCCATTCTGATGCTCGGTTTCAACCTCTTGACCATGTTTACATGCCTAAATGCATTGAGTTGCTGCCATGCGATTGGCTGATTAGATATCTGAGTTAATATCTCCTGATATTTAAGGTATGCACTGTCTAAAATGGATATTAGTATGAAAGAACAGTGTTTCATGTAGCTACTGTATATCTGTTTTAGTCCTTAATCTATCCATATGTTGAAAATAATGTAATTTATGTAGCTGACAGCACGTATCTACATTTAAGATTCACTCAAAGCTAAAATTACTGTAAATGTTGTATTAGAATGCTACATTAATTCAACAATGACTTCTTTGCACAAGCATGTCTTTCAGACAAACACTAGCCTATATTAAAATGCAAATGTGGATTTTAGTGAATCTTACTGCATCAATAAGAGCCTTCCAAAAGAATAACTGAAATTAAATACATGCTTCTATAAGAGCAATGGCCTCCACAGCCACCCGATTTCTATCCACAGTATCTTTTAGTGTTCATTTCTGCTGTTCCATAGATGTTCTAAGAATTCATTAGCATACTCTGTCACCAATTCAATTCGGAGATAATTTATACCGACCTACATGAAGTACAAAGATCTGCTGAGAGCTTTTTCTGTTTTGTGACCATGTTTTCTCAAAGAGAGCTCCTGTAATGAGGCAAGATCTGCAGTAGACAATGTACTCAGTTCTCTAGACAGTGTTTCTATAAATTTTAGAACACATTTTCAATGTGACAGCTGGCAAACATTCGGTAGTATGAATGATGTGTCCTGTTGAATGTAATCAAACTGAAATTGTAGTGCATATTTTATTAGTGCTATCTCTTCTGCCCAATACGTGCCTGAGCCTTCATCCTGAAGTCAGACTGATCCTCTTGGCAAACACTGATTCTCGTCGCTTCATTAACTATGTTTATTATCTGTTCTTAAGCTACAAAAGTAATACCAGAGAAAAGTAACCCCAAATTGCTTGTTTGCTTTCACGTGACAAACATGTCAATAAGGTATCTTTGGTACTTCAGTACTATTCATAATAAAAATAGCTAAATATTTAGGGCAGATTTTGCCGAAAGTGTCCATGTGAAACAATAATCTGATAGTTATTCCACATGCTGTAAAGATACACCCAAAGGTAACGCTCTAATTAGTTTAGTAAGCATGGTTATTAAAAATTTCCACTCATCTTGTTTAAATACTGAACATTTGTTAAGATGATCCGTATCTTTTCACAACATTTTCTTTGACACACACACCAGGATAGGAGCCAAATTAAGGAACAATGAATAATGATATTGCAACAAAAATGAAATCAACTCTCAAAGGTGTTCAGTAATGTTGTTAGGGAAAGAAAGCCTGTGGAGACTATAAATGATGGAGAAAAAAAAAAGAGAGCTAATTTTCTTTTTGGCAAGCATGTAATATAGCGATAAAATTATTAATGTTTCTTTCTTTCTTTTTGATCCACAAGGGGGGAGATGGGGGAGTGTTCGAGAAACATGTCTGAAATAATTATTTTTGCTTTTCTGTTTGGTGATGCTAATAAAAAAAAAAAACCTGGAGAAGATTCTAGATGCTTTTATTTATTTATATATATTCATATATATATAGTGCCGTAAAATGATTAATCGCGATTAATCACATCCAAAATAAAATTATTTGTTTACATAATATATGTGTGTGTGCTGTGTATATTTATTACATATATATAAATAGACACACATGCCTCTATATATTTAAGAAAAATATGTTATGTTTATATATTAAATATATTTATATATAAATTAAATTACGTGAATATAAATGTATACATATAGATATTTTCTAAATATATTCTGTATGTGTGTGTATTTATATATACATACTGAATATACACAGTACACACACATATATTATGTAAACAAAAACTTTTATTTGGGATGCGATTAATCGCGATTAATCGTTTGACAGCACTAATATATATATATATATATATATATATATATACAGTATATATATGTTATATTTATGGAATATATATTTATTTATGGGATTTCAACAAAATAATTAATTCTGTGAGTTCCTTATGTACTATTCAACACTTTCACATCCTAGGCAAGGCCTAATTTCCGTATTACTCTCAGAAATTGCATGGTGAACTTGCACTTTATCTTTGGTGTTAAAGGGCCTTTTCAGCAGCTTTGTTTTGGTTTAATTTGAGTTCCGGCTGTCTTGAGTTATTTAGCCATTTCTCTTTCTCTCTACACTGATAATATTAAGCTTACTGTTCCATGCACGTGCACACATAGACATCAAAGGGGGCTTGAGCACCTGCCCTTCTTCTTCCTCAAGAGAAAGTGCCCTTTTTTTCTGGGGAGGGTCTTTTTAACATTTTTTTCATAAATGAATATATGAAGAGTTTAGTTCCAAAACGCTATAAATGCATTTTGATTAATTTGAGTAAAAATGGGTTTTCTTTACCCTTCCTCGAGAGAAAGTGCCCTTTTTTTCTGGGGAGTGTCTTTTTTTTAATATAAATGAATATATGTATAGCTATATGTGCGCGTGTGTTTCTGTTTGCGCACAGCTTTCCCTGTCAAACTAATAAAAAACCTAAATATCAGGTCGGGTCAGGAAATGTTGAGACCAGGGTGCGAACTACGGGGGAGCTAGGGGGAGCTCGGCTCCCCTTAATAAGACATGGGCTCCCCTGAAAACGTGATTTGTGAAATCCCCCCATAAAAAAACCCAAGTGGGCTCCCCCAAAGTCCACGGTATAGTTCGAACACTGGTTGAGACTGTCGAGTTCCGACGCCCCACCGCGCAGGCGCAGCACAGCAGTGTAGCACACATTGATCTGCACATGCGCATCAGGCAGAGAGCCGCAGAAGTGAAGCCCTCCCTCCCTTTCCAGTTGTGTTTGTCTTGGTGTGGACTTGAGTGGTGATGAACAAAAGACTAAGCTACCTGTGCCTCGAATTTACAGCTAATTACCCAAAAGACAAAAATAAATTATAGTTAATTTGCCTTGCTAACATCCATGACTCATGACAGCTACATGATTCAGTTCACTGCATGATTCAGTTTAAAATGCATTTAGAATGATCACAAAATTCAAGATATGGGGGCAGAAATGTATATATTTATATCATTTAATATAGTTAATCAGTATCACGCGA